GCGCTGGCGGCCGTGCCCCCCCGCCATGTCGGCAGGGGAAGGTCGGGCGCCGGGCGGGGAAAGGAGCAGGGCGCGCAGACACCGCACGCGCTTCGCGTCCCCAACTCCAATGACAACTGCCTCCCAGGGCCGGGGTCAAACCGGCTGCGCGCGACACCCCTGGCTATCGCTTTACGGCACCGTCCTCCGTTGCCATGGCGCTCGGGCTACCCATTGGCCCCGACTGCCCCACCTCCTCGCCAACCTCTGTGGAGGTGGAGAGCGACTGCCGTAAAGTAGCGAGGCGGGCGTAGGGAGCGTTACGTCGTAAAGCTGAAAGACAAAGAAAGGGTAGGAAGCCGAAGTGGCCCGCGGGGAGCACAGCAGCGGGTGTCTGAGCCGTTATTGGCCGCTGGCAGGTGGCTGCTTGTCTCCTATTGGTCGCTGTCCCTACTCCCCAGCCCGTGCCCGTGCCCGCTTCTCGACCTGCTGTGTCAAGGGCAGTAGCAGCGGCCCGCTGCTGTGAGCGGAGCTGAGGCTGCGCGCAGGAGAGCGAGCTCCTCTCTACAGGCACCTCCTAGCCAGGGCCAATTGCGGGTGGGGCACAGGAGGGCCATTTGGCCTGGGCTCAAAGGGGGCGGGGCTCAAATTTAGACGCTTGTTACTGTTATGACATTTAATACATTTCACAACTATTGGACCAAAATGTGACTCACACTTTCAGCTTAGGGCTGCAAATTTAAGCAAAGAAGAGATGTGATTTGATTGAATCCATATATTTTGGCTAAATAATATGTCATGTGAAAGAGTTAAAAATGTTCATAAACGTTAATAAAAATATCGGTTCTGATGGCACAAGATTAGATCATGATGAATGTGGGTTTAAAATTTTATTACGGTGAGGGGCTTCAAAAGCTGGAAGTGGCCAGGGCCTCTCTGGACTTCTTAGAGGGTCTGCTCCTAGCCTGCTGCAGATGGTTACTGGCAGAGGGGCCTTGCTCTGGGATTATTTTGATGTTGGAAAATTGTGAGGTCTGGTTTCGTTTAGACACACTCGCAGCAGAGGTAAAGCTGTATTGTGAGCTCTTTTGATTTTGTCTTAAGTTTTGGGAGCGTTTGTATTTAAAAAAAACCCTCCCAGCGCTTGGAGAGATGAATAGATGAGAATCTCAGGTTTCATTAAAACAGGTAACTTTCTAGTTCTCCTCTAAATTGTGGTGATAAGTCAGAAAATGTGAAATGAGTATCTTAATGCACAATCTAATGGGAAGGATATGTGAGTGCACCATTTGTCCTCTGCCCAGTGAACCTCCCCATCACCATGTGTCCCATCTGGGGTCACTCTTCTCATCCCACACCATGTTAGCTCTGGGATGGGGACTTTCATGGGCATCCGGGAGCTTAGGCAGGAAGGCTCTGCCTTTCCAAATTGCCATCCTGGCCCTGCCCACACTCCGCCCCCCCAGAATGCCTGTTGTAGGTGTAATGGGGCTAGAATATTGTTGCTCCAGAACTTCCCATCCTCCCCAAGTTCTGGGATCATCAGGCCACGTGGCCACCTCCCTTCCTGCTGCTCCAGGTTGAGGAGACTGGAGCCATGTGACTTCCTCCTTTCCCATTGCTCTGGGAGCCAGGAGCCATATGGCATCCTCCTTCTCTGCTGCTCCCAGGGCTAGGAAGGCTTGGGCCAGGTGGCTTCTTCCCTCCCTACTGCTCCAGGGATGCTGGGGTGCATGAGTGGTCTTCCCTTCCCTGCTGCGAGGGTGGGGGCTCAGCTGAGGGGGCAGGGCCTGCTTCTCCAAGCCCCAGCTGCACTGAATGCCCCTGGGGGCTTTGGATCCATCCTTTTTTTCTTGCACCTCACCCTGATGGCTGCATCAGGGCAGAAGAGGAAATGAACAGAACAGGGCAATTTCTCAAGGAATTCATCCCCTATTATCCAGTCCCAGCCTCTGGCAGTCCCTGACCATCTTGGCTAATAGTCATTGACAGACCCATTCTGCATGAATTTAGGCTAGAGCCTGGCCTGTGAAATCAGTGAGGGGAGAGGGTGCCAGAGTCTGAGTTCCAGCCTAAGCAGAAACATCAGCATTGCTATTTTTAGCTTTGTAACTAGAGTCCAAGTCAGTTGACCTAGGACGATGGGATAGTTACAAGTCCTGAGCTGGTTAATGTGGGCCAGAAGAGGGTCTATTAACCTCATATACTGCACCTGGAGGGGAGCCGGGGCTGATAAATCCTTATTGTAAATTAAGCTCAGCTGGGATGGTGGTGGTGGAGGAGAGAAAGAAGGTTTAGGATTATAAAGCCAGCAAGTGAGAGCAGGAGATGGTGGTAAGGAATAAAAAGAAAAAGAGGCAGTGGCTGATAAAAAGAAATAGTAAAGAATCCAGGGAAATGGAACTGGAGAGTGAGCAGACCAGGGTGCCTTGTAATAGCATTTCTTTGATAGCTTGGGGAAGTTTGGGGTGGGCACTGGGAGGTGATACAAACTTCAGAAGCAAAATAGAAAGTATTGGGACTTTGATGTTCTGAAAGTTGGGAAAGGAACTGAATAGTGATGTGTCTGGGGGACTGACTTAAAGAAACTGCAGTCCTTGCCTATAAGTAACCAGTGATGGGGTGTCATGTGGGGTAAATGCTAATTCTCAGATCTTGCCTCAATGAGGCTCATATATGGTGACTGGAGCACCTTATGTCAATTTTGTGGGTATGTCTATATAGCGAAGAAACTGGTAGCTGGCTTGTACCAGACAACTTGGGTTTATGGCTCTTGGGGCTTTCCGGCCTGGGCTGGAGCCTGAGTTCTGGGACCTTCCTGTCCCACAGTGTCCCAGTGTCTCTGTGCAAGCTCAGGGCTGGAAGCTTACAAAGTAGTGAACTAGCTCGGCAGCCTGCGCCCAGCTGTGGGCTTTTCTAGTCTGTGTAAATACACCATAGCAGCCAGTCTCAGGGTATATGTGGCTTCTTCCCTACCTTTCCCAGTGCAGACTTATCTTTAGAGATTCCAGGAGGGCTGGTAGTAAGGGATGTAGAGACACAAGGCACTTATGTAGGCAAATGGTAGTGGGGAGTCCAATTTAACCACTGACCAGGCAGCTCAAGAAGAAGGAAATTGGTATCAGAAGGAAGAGAGGAAAAACTCCATGAAGCCATGTGAAAGAAGGAAGGATGATCCTGGATTCTGTAGAGGATTCTGACCTAAGCCTGAACATCTCAAGGTGAGGAAACTGAGGCATGCATAACTATGCTATCCTCAGTGGAGTTAAACTTAGTTATATTAGGGCTGATATTTGGCATGTTGATCTGAGGAATTATGCCAGCAAATTAGTTGGGACCTTGTTGACTCTTAGGAAGCCAAAGATTCTCTTTCATGAAGTCACTTTGATGCACACCCAAATAGGTTACCTTTGGCCTAATTCTCTAACAAGGGCAAAAAAGTATAACTTAAATCAAACAGTGGATAAACAAACTTTAAGCACACTGGATGATTAACTTGTAGGGTGAATGTGCCAAAGTCCTTTCCATAGTTACTGGGATCAAAGTGGAAGTGTCAGGTACTGAATTACAAGCAA